GGGCCGGCCCGGTGGCGCACTGGATAGTGCGCCGCTTGGGAAGTGTGGCGGCACTCCCGCCCGAGGGTTTGGATCCCACATACAGACCGGTTCCCGCTCACTGGCTGAGCGAGGCGCGGGAGCAACACCGAGGGTTGCGATCCGTAGCCGGACACAGAAAAAGACAAAAGACAAAAAAAAAAAGAAAATAGGAACTTGATGGGGCCGGCCCGGTGGCGCACTGGATAGTGCGCCGCTTGGGAAGTGTGGCGGCCCTCCCGCCCGAGGGGTCGGATCCCACATACAGACCGGTTCCCGCTCACTGGCTGAGCGAGGTACAGGGGCAACACTGAGGGTTGCGATCCGTTGCCGGACACAGAAAAAGACAAAAGACAAAAAAAAAAAGAAAATAGGAACTTGAGAGTCGAAAGGAAATCTCACTTTACACCATTTGCATTATCTCTTAAATGGACGGTTCTGAGGCTGTCTGCTACAGTACTTTGATGAATAACAAGGCAGCCCTGTGAAGAAACATCACTCTGAAGGTTGTAGTCCTAGGGCATTAGGTGGTAATTTGGCCTTACCTAGTACATCAAGGGTCTGTTGCTTCTTTCCATTCATGTCTTTCTCTTTCACATTTGACTGCAAAGAGACCAATTTTCTACATTGTTGGTGCTGATAAACACTACAGTAGGATTGGGCTCTGATGTTAGAAATTTGGGGAGCACGTAACTATTCTGGAATGGTCTATGGAAGAAGAGGTGGGAGGACTGTGGATATCTGTCTGTGCATATCTCTCTGCGCAGCACCTGTTGGAAAGGCACCAAAGAAGAAGTATACTGATCCAGCCTTGAATGAAATGAGAACTTCCCTGACCTGAGGGAAGGTCACTGAATAATGAATAGCAGGGAGAAGTCAGAGGTAAGAGCACAATCTCTGTGGTGGAATGTAAATCTTTCCTAAAGAGGCCCTCAGAATGTAACTGGAGTTAGCTTTGATGTCCCATTTGTTTGAATTGTACTAGTAAAAGTCACTGTAAAGGTGTCTTCAAAACTTATGTGCAAATCTTAAAAATAAGCATGTGACATAGTTCTCATTAACATGTTTATTTGACATCATACTTTAATTTTTAACAGTCAGTGTGTTTTTAGGAAGGTGATTTGGGACTAGATACTTTTTGAGAAATGCCACATGTCGAGATGCTAAATTTAATGTTCACAGTATGGGAATGCTCCACACGGGTAGCCTGACTTTTCAAATGCCTTCATCCCCAGATTCATAGTCCAATAACCCACTTGTTTAAACCCCTAAGGTTGCAAGTAGTTCTTTTCTTTTTAACTCTATTTATCAGAAGTTGCTGTCAGAGAGAAGGGATGTCTGTTAACCTGCTTCGCCCTCAGCTCTGTGGAAGTCTCTGACCTGTGAGTGTCAGTTATGTATCTCAGATCTCTCTAGTGCATCTCAATTTCAAAAACTGTTCCCCTGCTCCCGTGACACACTCGACTTGTCAGACCATTTGTCTCAATTATTTTTGGTTCAGAAAGTATGGACACCTTACTAGAAGGTGAGATTTTGGCATCATTAGGAAACACTTCCTAATTTCGTAGTGCCATTCTGGTTCATAGCTGTATTTTCCAATGATAGTATTCCCAGTTCAGTACTCCTCCCAGTGTAGGAGCCAGCCTTTAACGACTAGGCTTTATTTTCTACTTTTAGAAAGTTTGCAGTATATTCTGTTTAAAAAGCCAGGCCTAAGTGGGGGATATCGGGGTTGGGGGAAGAAAGGAAAAACCCATTAAAGAGTTTTGACATGTCTATTACTAAAAAGTGTTGAGCGGCCTGTTAGCTCAGTTGGTTAGAGCATGATGCTAATAAAAAGGGTTAAAATTGACGAGGCAAATTTTCTGGAAGCATTTCAGGTACTCTGAGGCATTTTCCCTTCATTTCTGGTAGCTGTCACTAATTGATGGTATCTGTTGACAGGAGTGCAGGCACGGTGGTTAGGTTTACATCAGTTATTTGAAGGAAGGGATATAACTACTTTTTAAAACACTTTATGACTTTTGTGTAGCCGTTCTTAAATTGTTAATTTTGGAAAAAATACTGTTTTACTTTTTACTTATTCACATTTCATATATGGAGAAGGACTGTGGAACAGGGGCTTTAATGGGGGGAAACTCGAATAAAGTTTTGTCAATAACTTGACTGTTTTTATTTCTACTTCTGTAATCTGCCTTTGGGATTTCTATAATTTTATCTCCTCCATCCCAGCCACTTCTGTATAGCATAGAGAGCTTGAGTGGCTGAATGCATCTTCATACATCCACCGCTGTTTTTACTCACTCCCTTTCAGATCTCTTTTTCCCCAGATTCTCCTACTGTGGAGAACCTGGGAACTTGTAAGGAGTACCATTTTCAACTCCCCACCCTCACCCCCATTCTGGTCCTACTGAATTAGAAACTTGGAGGTTGGGATCCAGCAAAATCTGTGTTAATATCCACCCCCCCCAATACCCACCTCCCCCACACCCCATGATTCTGGTGCATGCTGAGAGGTTTGAGAATCGCTGCACGAGACATTGAAGTCAAAGTAGTTCAGTACACAGGCTTTGCCCTTGAAGAGGTTATAATCTGTTTGGGCAACTGAGTTACAAATTTGTTAGCAGTACAGTGGTTAAAAAATTTTACAGTAATAAAGTATGCACATGTATAATTTTGATTAAAAAAATAGAACAAACCCTTCAATGTCTTCCCCTTTCCATTAGTATAAAATTCAAATCTTGAGGTGGTTTAGGAGTCCCTGCAGACCTGGCCCCTGAGCTTTGCAGCCAAATTTGCACTCTTCCCATCTGACTACACTCAAGCCATAGAGAACTTCTTTCAGTTCTAAGGATGCACCTTGCTTATTCTCTGGCCATTTGCAGATGCTTCCTCTGTCCTGAACCCTGTCCGCCCAGCTTTTCATCCTTTAGGTCTCAGAAGGATCAAGGCCTGGCTGCCAGCATCCAGGAGCTGAGTCTTGGGATTTAGTATGCATTTGACCTCTTCACACCCCCTACCCCCACCCTGTTCACAGTAGAACACGGCTGCACTCACCTGTGCTTTGTCCAGAGATCCTCTCTTACTCTCTTTAGAGATTCTACTCTCAAGAATTCTAAACAGGGGAGTGATATACTAGTCAGGTCTTGGCAAGTTGCC